CCCCAAAACCCCAAAACCCCAAAACCCCACATCGAGAAATATTAATGAAATTTGAGTTAGATAAAAATGTAAAGTTTGATTTAAAATTAAATAAGGCTTATGCCTTATGACATATTCACAAATCTGATTTAGTAATATTTTCATTTGTATGTTTATCAATAGCTTCTTCATTACTCATGCAAATGTATACTTTATCGTAAGCAAAAGTGATTTCCTTAAAACTCTAAGAAGTTGCAAAATCATTTAAGTCCTTCAAAGGCAAGATAGATCTCTTGCTAGCATAATCACTAGTTAGGCGGTTTTCTTTGAGGCTTTTATTTAATTGAAGTTTTATCTTTTGCATGATAATGTGAGATACATCACTTTGAATTGAGATTGAAATATTGTTTTCTGGTTTGAATTACGCAACAGCTGCTTATTTAGCTCTGTACTCAACAAAATTAAAACCTTCTGATTAATTCTCTCTGGATAACTCAAAAGAGAATATGTAGTCTTTAAGTCTTGCTTAAAAAGTGAAAGGATAGTATTGTAGTGAGTTATTTAAAGTTTGATTAAATAGGCCTAGAGCACCATGTCCTCTCATAAATAAAACTTAGCCGTAGATATCTAAACCTTTAGATCCATCATTAAACTGATACTTAAATGTAGAATCATTAGATTACTTTCTAACAAATGAACCACTGACTTCTCTTAAAATCAAACCTGCATCATTATCAACAAAAGGCTCCATTTTGAAATCTTGAAAGTTTTCAAGTACTTAAAGCTCGTATTATTTCATCTGTTAATTGAAGGATATATCATCAAATACTTTAAGACTTCCACAGTCCTTTATTCTTGAGCTATTAGTGATATTCATATTTCTATCAAAAGCAAAGTATATTAAAAATCCTAGCATCATGATTGCATACTTGTTAAATTTGCCAGAGAAGTATTTAGTTATTCTAGCTTCTGTGTTCATGCATAAGGATAAAATTGGCATTTCAAAGTACTTTAGAACAAGCTTTGACAGCATAAGGGTAATCAGAAATGAGGCTATGCTAACTCCATATAATGTTTTATAGCTATCTATTTAGAATCTGTAATTTTCTTTGATCTATTCAAACAATTGGTACTTAAAGAGATACAATGATTAAATCATATAGAGCTCAAATGAGTGCGAGGAAACTATCTGCACTACTCTAAATTTGGCTAATTTATTAAGGAAAAAGGTTGGCCCAAACTTCTGTGCGACAAGTGTAAATATAACAATCCACAATAAAAATGGCAATGGCTTGAGGTTATAGGGCAAAAAGATTATTTTATATATCATAAGTGGGTATACCAGAAAACAGATAATCAAAATGAATATTTGCAAGTACTTATGCATGTTGAAATCCTTCATTTTCAAGCTGTAATGATATGATAATATTCCTAAAAAGTAAGCTGCTGTTCTGTCTTGTATTGTAAATACCAATTTGTTAGGTGCTTGAAATAAGATTACTGCAGCTGGAATAATATAAAGAACATTTTTGCCAAAGAAATTCAATTACCGGCCTAGCATGAACATTAGAGGTGATCCAATTAATAAAAGCATTTGACAGTTTACATACCAGTACTTTTGCATGACTGATATTTTGCCCTCATCATAAAACTAATGAGTGAAAGTAATGTAGTGAAAGAACTCCTTCCACGTGCATCTGTAGAAGTCATGCTATATATAGCCTATCAAATAAAATAGAGGTGCCATTCTATAAATTCTCCTAGAGGTAAAACCCCAGTACTATTGCCAATAGCTTTAGTTTGGCTGATTTTTTATACTGCTTTCAAAAGATTTAATCGAGAGCCAACCTGAGATAAAGAAAAAGGCATCATTGGTTTAATGTGCTCCAAATACAGTAATCGTCCATTAGGCAGGAGTTATCTTAGCCATATGTGGATGATTGACCAGAGTGTGCCCAAAGTATACAATAAATGCCCCTATAGCCTTTATTAGATCAAAGAACTAGAGTTCGTTGTTGTTGTTCATGATTCGATTGAATAAGTGCAAAGTAATTAAGCAAAAATTAAATTGAAATTAATTTATACCTATCATTTGGTATAACTAAGTTATGGGGTTTTGGGGTTTTGGGGTTTTGGGG